TTTAAACATGCAGCTAGCATCACGGAATCCCTTCTCAGGACAGAATTTGTTTTTCAAAGTTTACTGGCCCACCCCCTTCAACATGCACTTTGACTTTCGCCCGCTCTTTCGCATAACTTTCGCGGAACTTTCGCGAAAATATCCCTATTCACAAACCCCGGCCATCAGCAGGGGGTGCACTGAAGGAAAAGCGAAGACCAGGGGCCTTGGTGTTTGGCTCTCGCAAAGCCTCACTTTTGGAAACTTGGCTACTGCTACTCGCATTCTCTGGTGCCCTTCTCCTGCCGGACCCCGGGCGGCAGTGGGTGGCAGCCCTTTACATATAATGATTATAATACCCAACTTTCGCGAAACTTTCGCGAAATAAAATTTTACTTTCGCGAACTCGAAAAAAAACTTTCGCGAGGGTTTCCAACATAACATGCACGGCTTTCGCAATTAAAACTCCTTACAAGGACCTTTAGATCGATCACTGATCACCATATATATACAGTATACATTGGTAGGACCAGTGGCTGCTAAACATCCCTACAAAAAGCGGTGCTCGGAGGGTGGCCGGGGAGGGTGGCAGGGAGGGCGGCGGGGTTCACCAATTATTGGTGCAACTTTGGGTGCGCAAAAAGTTCTCTCTCCTTAAGTTTTTTGATGTTTGACGCCCGCAACAATATTTTGTCTACGTTTTTCACGAGTTTTTTCGGTTTGCCTGCCCGTCACTGTGTCTTGAACACTTTCCTTCAGAAATGCAACATTTGCAAAATGGATTTGAAGCAGGAAAATCCGAGAGTCAAGGAAATTCTTTGGTCCCGGAGAAGTCGTTGATAATTCTTAATGCGGTCCCCGCTTGGACAAAATTAAAGAAACAACTTTACAGTGACGGGTTTTGATTATGCAATCAAAGATGTTGATTTGCCATGTCTGCCCGATTGCTGGTGAGATTTTCTTCGCATCACTGAGCCCCAAGTGCAGCAACTTCAGCGTACCCTCTCCTTCTTCAAATTATTCGTGCCAAAACCCGTTTCCGGGAAACGGAGACACACGAAATAGTTTGGGTTCTAGACTTTTTTCCGTCAGTGGAAGTGCTTAAAGGGTATAATTATACTGTACAAATGCGGCTAAAAAATGCAGGCAAGCAACTATAAAAGAAATAAACTTCGGTGGTATCCCCAACAGCCACAACGTTTTATTTTTACAAATCTTTCAGAAACGTGCTGCGAAACCAAGCGCTGGAAACCCTTTGAACCTGTTGGAACCTGACCTGGCCCTGCACCAAAGATTCCCCCCAAAACCTTCTCCGGGACCTTCTCTGCAACCTTCTCCGGGACCCGTTGAACCTGACTTGGCTTTGCACCAAGGCTTCCCAAGAGCTTCTCCGGAACCTTCTCCGGAACCCTGTTGAACCTGACCTGGCAGAGCCTCCCGGAACCTTCTCCGGAACCTTCTCCGGAACCCTGTTGAACCTGACCTGGCGCCTCCCAGACCTTCTCCGGAACCTTCTCCGGAACCTTGTTGAACCAGTTGAACCTGACTTGGCTTCGCACCCGATTTCCGGAACCCTGTTGAACCTGACCTGTCTCTGCACCAAATCCCAAACCTTCTCGGGAACCTTCGGAACCTTCTCCGGAACCTCGTTGAACCTGACCCGGTGCCTGCACCAGTGCACACCGGAGCTATATTCTGGGCTGAAGACCCCGTCAGCTTACGCTGTTGGGGAAAAACTGTGGACCTTTGCGCTGATCCATGTTGGATAAAATCTGTGGAAGTTCAAGATACTCGGTCATGGAAAATCGATTGAGACGAGAATACAGAACATCGCTTAAACAAATGATGACACCATATATATACATGGAAAACTCCGTAAAAAGCTCGAAATCAATGAAAACCTTTGAAAAATCGATGAAAACCGCTGAAACCCAGTGAGAAATCTATGAAAATCATCAAGAAATCGAGAAAAACAATGAAAAATCGATTTTAACATGGAAAATTAGCGCCGAATTTAGCGCCGATCATCCGCGCTGAAGATCAGCGCGGCGGATCAGCGCGGATCAACGCGGATCAGCGCGGATCAGCGCGGATCAGCGCGGATCAGCGCGGATCAGCGCGGATCAACGCGGCCCAGCGCGGATCAACGCGGCCCAGCGCGGCCCAGCGCGGATCAGCGCGGATCAGCGCAGATCAGCGCGGCGCCGCCAGCGTGGATCAGCGCGGATCAGCGCGGCGCAGCGCGCGGATCAGCGCGAATCAGGGCGGATCAGCGCGGATCAGCGCGGATCAGCGCGGATCAGCGCGGCCCAGTGCGGATCAGCGCGGATCAGCGCGGATCAGCGCGGATCAGCGCGGCCCAGCGCGGCCCAGCGCTGATCCGCGCGGATCAGCGCGGACCAGCGCGGACCAGCACGGACCAGCGTGGACCAGCGCGGAACAGCGCGGATCAGCGGGCACTGAGCGGATCAGGGCCGATCAGCGCGGATCAGCGCAAATCAGCGCGGATCAGCGAGTACTAAGCGCGGATCAGCGCCGATCAGCGCGGATCAGCGCCGATCAGCGCGGATCAACACCCATCAGCGGGCATTAGTTCGGAGATCTTCCATAGAAGCCGAGGGCAAGTGAGATGTGAACATGGAATAGCACCAAGCATGGTCACTGTCATTGTGTTTTTTTATTTTTGTCAAGGAACAAAGTTTTTCCTTGACGCCCATGGGTGCTACATCTCATGCGCCGTCGGCTTGATGTCTTGCTGCTCTTTTCTGCCACCCGTCCTGCACCTCAAAATACCTCAAATCAATAGCTTTGATGCCCTCCTAATACCCTCTTCAGCCACCTGTCAGGCACCAAAAATCAATAGTTTTCATCCCCCCTCATCCCTCTCAGCCGCCCCTCGTGCACCACTAATAGCACTGATGCCTTGCCATCTTTTTCCACCACCCTTCCTGCACCACAAATCAATAGCCTTAATGTCCTGCCACCCTGTTCCGCCACCCTTCCTGCACCACAAATCAGTAGCCTTAATGTCCTGCCACCCTGTTCCGCCACCCTTCCTGCACCACAAATCAGTAGCCTTAATGTCCTGCCACCCTGTTCCGCCACCCTTCCTGCACCACAAATCAGTAGCCTTAATGTCCTGCCACCCTGTTCCGCCACCCTTCCTGCACCACAAATCATAGGTTTTGGTATCGGTTTGCTCTTCCAGATGTTTAGCAGGCAGTGGGTCTCTCAAAGTATACATATATATTATTTGTCTGTGTTATTGCTAAAGAGGTTGCTTTGCGCCACTCGACCCTGGACACCTTGGATCTCACACCGCCAGCACAACCGATCACAATCCTCGGAAACAGACAGGAAATGACAGGAATTCATAGCTTGGTGGCTTCCACTTATCTCAAAGACATGAGTCATTTAAAAGATTTTAAAAGTCAAGCAGTTCAAGTAGGGATGGAAAGGTGAATTGAAAGCAGTGTGGATCTAGGAAGCCCAAAAAACATGGTGGTTGTCACCCTCGCCATGCTGGTTGAAAAACTATTAGCTTGCACGATTCAGCTCGCCGGGCCGGTTTTTCCCACATCAAGGTGCCAAACTTTGATCACAACCACCACAACAACAAGAACAACAGCAACAATGACAACGACAACAATTACAATTTCAGGTGTGCTGGACAAGCTCCATCTACCAAAAGAAACGGTTGGATGTGAACGGTTCCCCCCGGCGCGGTCGCTGTGCGAAGCTGTGCAGCCTAGGAACTTTGCTTCCTTGTCAGGGAGCTTACTTTCCACTTCTTCCAGCCAGGCCTCGCTTTCCATTGGGGGAGCCCTATGCACGATCCTCCAGTGAATCTGAAGAGTTCAATTCTGACTACGGCATCCACTCAGACTCTCTTCGGCTTTGTGAAAAATCTTGGAAATGTCACATGTTGGAATATGCATAACAACTAACAACCGTGCATTTTAAGGTGACCCGTCTTGGCTATTGCTGGCGGTACCACTCCGATCCGCTTCTGGCCTCGCTGTCAAACATCATGCCTTGGGGCAAGAGAAAAAGGCTTTTCATGGCGAAGAGAAGAGCATACACACAAATGCCCGACTGGGCAACGAAATCGTTCATTATTTGGCTTTGTTTGCAAATTCTAGGGAAAGCCCTAAAACATCTAAAACCAGGCTGCTTAATCAGCAGTTTCCGCTGTAAAATTGCGATAATTTGGGATATACCCCGTTTGATCTCAAAACAGGGAACCACTAAATTCACTAAATTAACTGGTGAATCATCATGTTTCTTACTAGATGGCCATCTTATACCATTCTGGGGCCTATCCCCCAGTCCCAGACACAGACATTTTTCCCAAAAGAACCGCCTCTGGGGCCGAGAACATGCGAAGTTACCTCAGGAACTGAGGCTACCATGTGGAATTTGAGGCTACCTTATTGGAGGACACATCCAAGTGTTTACGATTGTGGGTTGAGAGACAACCAAGCCGCTAGCCTTCCATCAAATCTTTCTCATCGTTTCTCACAAGCGTTTTTTTGGCCACTGATGTCATTGTCCCGAAATCGCATGGGGACTTTGTCAGAAACATACCCTGATCATCCCTGATCCACATGCATCCAATGCCAAGCCATACCCCATTTCGAGGTGCCAAATGATAGCTGCTTCCGCTGGGAACGGCCACCACTCCATATGCTTGGCCCTGAAACAATTCCATGGGGGAGCTACTGGACGACGAGGATGCCCTTTTTGGAATTCCCCATCATGGTCATTCAAACTTGCTGGTGACCTTAACACAATGTCTGTCACTATAGGCAAACAACCAAGCAATGTATTGTGATTTGCTCATCTAGGAAGCTCCGTGGGAAAGCAGCCAAGTAGTGGGTAGAACCTGGGTCAACTGAGCTGCCCACACAACAGTGACCGCAGAAAATTCCGGAAACATGATCTGCAATGATCTATCTATTAATTTCTGCCGGTACATATTGAGTCATATTGTGAAAACTCCTCCTTCCACCATATTCCTCTTTTCTCCTGCTGTAGTCACAGATTCCCAAACCCTTTCGGGCCAGCCATCCATCTTTGGACTCTATGACCATCTGCGTCAAGAACTATTCACGACCGATTCTTTCCTATGCGTCTGTCTGAAAATGGGCATTGCATGGGGAAGGTGACAATAGTCCATTGGGGGTTAGCCCAGATGGCTATTGTATGTTATTAAGCAGAAAATGATGATTGACCAGTGGACTTGAGGGTACCAATGCGAAGCACTCCACTTGCTCACACAGCCACAGTCGTCACTTACTTGCTCATCCAGTTCGTCTTGGCCACACGACTTCTGGGATATCGTTGTGACCTGGTCTTGCACAATCCGCAAATATTTCCCGTGGATCCCAAACCAGCTCAGTGTCCCACTCCGCTTCATTCAGCTCCAGTGTCAAGTGCTCCCACGTCTTGGGCCACACGTGGTGAAGAATACAGCATGACCTTGCTGGTTTTGTCTGAAAATAAGGCACCCCAAAAGCTGATGGCGAATCATATGCACTCTAAAGCTGCCATGTTCAGGTAGCCCCCAGGTTCACACCGACCCAAATATCATAGTGTTGCTTAAAACCCCCAGCAGCGACAGTTGCGAAGTGGAAAGCAAAAATTTGTAGGGGTCTGGGGAAAAAAACGCGCGTAACTACCTGAAGAAGACAAATGAATATAGAAAAAAACATGTAAGAAGAATCATCTACACTGGTACGTGATCCACGAGAAGGACTGAGAAAGCAACGGCCTAAAAAACAAACTGAAGGAGCTCCGAAAACGATGCGGTTGAAACATCATCCTTTGATCATCTCCAACAACCAAGGAGACAATGTCTGAAATCTACTCGAAATGGGAAATTCAGCCTGTTTCTTGCAGGCTCACATCCCAAACGCTAATTTCATGCCCATTTCTTCAGGATGAACCACCACTTGTTCAGGTTTAGCAGACTTTTTTGGTTGGTTCAACTCCCATTTTTCTGGGTTAGACCACTATTTGTGTTGGTTAAACAACCATTCTTCAAGGTCTGAGATACCAAGCCAACTGCCTGACGATGCATTGTGGTGACCCTTCGGTTTCGCTCTCCGACCAGAGTCGTCCCAGGACAGCCAATCACGGCCTGGCACAAAGTTCCGGAAACGACCAGTCCAGTTGGGGATCAACATGGGGATGTCGGATGTCACCAACCAAACGGGATTTCACCCCTACCCAGATGCTCATGTTGACTTCTTTTTTGAAGTACAGCACTTCGAATTTCTTCACTTGGTCTATCTTGGTTCACTTTCCAGACCAGAACATGTTCACCCTATATAAAAACGTACCTAGCAAAGCGTCTGTGACGAAATTGCACCCCTGTTTGCTTCACTGCAAAAATGGGTTGTCGCGGCGCTCAACCTGAGTGACCCTTTTGTACTTCAAGAATTGTGGGATGTGAACTGCTGATAAACCCTGATCAATTCCGGATACCACCAAAGTTTGAAGCCAAATCCACCAGGTGCCAACATGGCAAAGCCTGGCCGCATGCCACGAAGGTCATTGCAGAGTTCCGTAAGGTCTCCATCGGCCCCGGGCCAGCAGCCAGGCAAAGCCGTGCGTAGGGCGCCTGTGGATCAAGAATTCATGGAGAAACTGAAGATGAAACTTGGGAGAAAACTTGGGAGAAGCATGTGATTTGACTTCAGGGTCATTTGTCTATAGCAATATATATATATATATGTGTACGTATGTACGTATGTACGTATGTACGTATGTACGTATGTACGTATGTACGCATGTACGTATGTACGTATGTACGCATGTACGCATGTACGCATGTACGCATGTACGCATGTACGCATGTACGCATGTACGCATGTACGCATGTACGCATGTACGCATGTACGCATGTACGCATGTACGCATGTACGCATGTACGCATGTACGTATGTACGTATGTACGTATGTACGTATGTACGTATGTACGTATGTACGTATGTACGTATGTACGTATGTACGTATGTACGTATGTACGTATGTACGTATGTACGTATGTACGTATGTACGTATGTACGTATGTGCGTATGTACGTATGTACGTATGTACGTATGTACGTATGTACGTATGTACGTATGTACGTATGTACGTATGTACGTATGTACGTATGTACGTATGTACGTATGTACCTGGAGCATCCTTTGAGCACTGTTTTGTGCTCGAGGTGTTGTGGTGCTCGAATATGTTTTTTTTGCTCGTTTATGTTTTTTTTGCTCGAGGCATTTGGGACCCCACATAAGTAACACTATACCCCAGTTATGCCTTAGTTATGCGATTAAATTATCATGTATTTTGTGTTGTTATCTCCCAACTGGATACCACCGTCCCCCACAGCCAACAGCTGCTTGCACATCGTGTTTTCCATTGCCTTCCTCGAATCCTTTTGCCAGGATCTCAGGGATTTGGGATCAGCTAAACTCGAACTTGGCACACCCTGTCCCATTCTCTTCTGTACCCAAGTAGAACGCGGGACAGAGTTCGGTAACACAATCTAGCTGAGTGCAAGCAATGTCGGGAAGTGCGGCTAACTCGTCCTATCATGTCCTCGTCGGCCCAGCACGATGTGCCTCACAGGAAGTGCATACCATGCAGCACATATCGCCTCTCTAACTGCGCAAGTTAAGTTCCAGACTGTGTGGATTGAAGATCCACTCAGCGTCGGGATTGGCCAGCTCGTGTTGGGACTGTAGCCTGAGCTAGGTTTGCTGGACTTTTTACAATGGGTCTGTGGCAAAGGACAAGATAGGTGCAGCTTGGAAACACAACATGCTGCATCATGTGTATCTTTGGACGCATGTACCAGAGACTGTAGCCAAGCCTTTTTGCCATTCTCGCTGCTGCCCCAAAAGCTTCCTGAGAGGCAGCCCGCGTAGAAAAAGTGATCAATTAAGTAGTTAGTTGGCCCTTTTCTTAAAAAGAATGGTTGGTAGCACGCGCGCTGGGAAACCAAATGAAACCAAGTACAAATTGACAAGGGTCTGTCATAGCCCAACCATCTTCAACCGTTTTGACTGCTTGAGTTCGGTGGAGCCAAAGATTGTTGCCAGGCTTGTACACTGCACGAAAGTAGTCATTGGTAGCTTTGTTGCCCCATTTGATCACTCGAACCATGTCACGCAAGTGCTCCTTGCACAGCAAACCATGTTTTTGTTGTTGCAGTAAGTGCGAGATTTTTCACCAAATAAAACTGATCTTATACATACAGTAAAATAGTAAAATAGAAAACTACTCAAACAAATTTGTATGGACTAGGCACATCAACCTGGCCTAAATCCACATGTGATAGGACACTCTCCAACCAAGCTCCCACCACTGCTGTGTCGGATCCTTTTCCAAGACCTCTGGGAAAGTCTTGCAGCCTCAGCAATTTCAAGAAAGGCAAACTTGACACAATGGTCTCAAATGGGGTTCATCTCTTTGGGGACGTGGGATACAACCCTGACTGCGGAGAAAAATGCTAAGACATTGACCTAGCTGCGAGGTTATTTTCAGTTCTTTTTTGCTGAATTCCAGGATGGTCGTAGATTTTTTGTTTGCTACGCACCACGCTTTGAAACTCACCCAAGCACGTTCTAGTTGATCCTCATATCTTCCAGGCCCCCAGATCTCACATCTTACTGCGAGGAAAACTAGGCAGGATGCCAAATCATCCTTCCCATAACCTGCTATCGCGTAGGTGTGTGCTATGTCTATCTTGATAGACTTTGGATTGGCACCCCCCTGCAAATCTTGCAAAGGAGATTTGCGTCCACGTTTGAATGGATCAGGGGGGACATAGTTTGGACGCAAGGATCGTATGGGCCCGGTAGGTCCAAGAGCATGCCAGTCCTTAGAGGGGCAGGGGATGACATAGAAACACACCTCAAGACCCTATGGTTCATTGGTCATTTGAAACATGTTGAAACCCAGTGGTTGGCAAAAAAAAATGCAAACTTTGGATACCAAATTTCAACAGCATCACATAAGTGACAAATTCGGGTGCACTGATAACCTGTCGCAAGTTTGTGAGCAGCTCGCAACCATGGCCAATCACCCTTGCTCCCCAAGTACTTGAAGTAGACGCGAAAATTCTTGTCTCCCTTCTTCACCTGGTATTGATCAAATATTGTTTGAAGGATATAAAATTATCTGAGAGATGACAACCCAAGTAACATTGCTATTCATGAAGCATTGACCCACCCAAACTAATGGAATCCATACAATCCTATCCCATTTGAATTCCGGATATTGTTTTGAATTGAACCACCCCAACATGTTGGAATTCCCAAAAAATGACTCGGCTTTGCAAGGGCTCACAAAGACTTAAGGGATCCTTGATAATATTTGGTTAATATTATTTTTTCTGGTTTTGATCATATAATAAATTGAATAAGGATCAAACCCCAAAACATATTTTACTGCATTGTTTTTCACACCCTGCCTCAAGACCCTCAGTTTCCAATCGAACGAGGTCAGACACCAGAGCTTCAAGCAGACCGTCAACGGTTGCACCGCCAGGGGCATAGCATTCAGATGGCACCACCGTGTACACTAATCGGCTGGTGTAGGTATGCCTCAGATGTGCAGGGGCAAAGGATCTGAAGGTTATTTGTAGCAGGTCACTTGGGGATTGGTTCTAATCCCAGCATGGCAACAAATAGCCACTTGTATGAGTAGAGGTACTTGGTAGACGGGATTTTCTGTCCACCAGTCCATGACATAGTTGGCTGAAAGCTGATCACCAACAAAGGTCTTTTGCCCAGCCCCCTTCCTTCATCTCCATGGATGTAGAACGGAACAGTTTGAGAGGGATGCTCTGGCACAAGACTAGGATCAATGTTTTTGTATCGACCCCAGAAAGTTTGGAGCATAGCTTGGGCATCCTCCCAGGTATCCAAGGTGTTCCCACCCAGGAAAAAAAACCATTGTATTTGCTATTCTCAAAGCACAGCCTCGCCCAATCTGTCATATAGAGAACTGGCCAAGGCTTGACGAGCAGTTTCCGACGGCGTGGAACCTTAACCTTCACATCCACAGAACTCAGGCGTACAGGTAAGGTTTTGTCCTTCCGGTGGATCATTCTATGCATAGCACGACTAAAGTTGCGAGATTTCTTTGACCTATGGCAGCTTCCAAATTCAGCAACCTTCTCGTCATATACTCCTAGGTTTTGGTGTGTCTATGTGGGTCTAAAGAATGTGTGTTTTTGAAAATGTAATCACCAAACAAAAATGCAATGCTAATTGATCATTCAAGCGTCCGTGCTTTTTCAAAAGTCGTTCGGTTCTGTCAGCTTGCAAGAATACTTCTTTGGCTGATGCCTGGGCTTTGAGTAATGAATGAGAAATTTGGGATGGATAGAAGCTGAACCCCCGAGACCATCATAGGAGCATATAGAGTACCTTCTAACATCACATACTGTTATATATAATATATAAAATAAGGTGTTGGCAATACACACTGTTATTGCTGGCAAGTCACTCCTCGGGCGAAGTTGTCCACCAAACCATCGACTGCTTCATCATCAGAGCTGCTGTAGCCAGTACCTTACCCCAAGTTCATAAGGGTGCAGGCAACTAACATATACCAATTAACATAGACCTTTGAGAATGGGTATGAATTAAGATATAAAGAATTTCATTACTGCCCCAGCTTATGGCAGGGGCTATGTTCGTTGGGGAGATGATGTAGGTCCAAATTCTTGAAGTGCCGGCCAACACATGTAAAGCATCGGGTGGTTTTTTGTGGTGAATTACCCAGATGGGGAATCAGTGATATTTTTTTTCCAGGAAGCTTGTTGGGGTATCAATGCAGACTAGGTACATCTACGGCCCACATCATCGCCAAAACCTGGCAAAGCAGTGGGTGACAAAGTATACCCATGGATCTTTCCCAACATAAATGGGGTAATCACATCGATTCTAAACACACCCCCACGAGTGTATTAACTTTGGGGTCCCATAGGGTGGTGTTTATAGTAATAGGGAAACGGATAAATTCCAACCGGTGCAGGGTACTTCTCCGTTCTTTTGATTCTTTTGTGCGAGATGCTCGATCGGTGCTGCAACTAGACCCTGCAGTGCACAGCCCCAAAGAAGGGAAACACAGGGAAACATATAATTTATATAATATTGATGATGTTTTTAAACATTACTATCTCAGAGATTCCAACCTGTTCCAACCAAAGGGCATGTACAGCTGCGAACCCCATACTTGTATCATAGGATATCATACTGGGTGTGTCGAATTAACACACGCCATGTGCAAAAGCATGGTCGCCATGTGCAACCTTGCAAAAGATTTGGTATCTAGGCATCAGCCTTCGGCGATTTCTTCTTCTTAGTGGCAGACCTTTTGGCCTTTGCCTTTGGCTTTGAAACAGCACCCCCCGGAGACTTGCTCGGCGCAACCGAGGACGCCTTCATGGGCCTTGGACACAGGCACAGGCGCAGCATCCGGAGCATGTTTCAGGAAGTTACTCAATGCATAGACCAGAAAATCTGGGTAAAAGTCACACCTATCGATGTGCATGAAACATTGTAATGTATTATAAAAATTACGAATGTTTATACCATAAACAATCCATTAAGTCAAGTTACTTGGATCGCAGCAAGAGGGAATTCATCGAAACATCCAGTTTGGTGCATACCACGAAATGCTCCTGGATCTTCGCTTTCTGGTGCCTGGGCGAGAACAAACAGCTGGGGCCCTAATTGTTTTTAATGGCCAAATTGGTCAAGCTACAATTTCTGAATTGCATCCCAAGAACTTATCCATATTCTCAGGGTTCACCGTAGCTTCCGACAGCAAGTTGGTCAGGGAATCATACTCTGATTGCATCTTGGAAAAGACAGATTCCATTTGCGGCACTAGCCTCAATGCAAAGGGTTGGTTAAGCGGATAAAAAAAGATATGCGTAATTCAGAATTCCCAAGTGTGTTTGTTGATTGATCTTTGCAATTTTAAGCTATGAACTTTTGGCTTGCAGCTGATCCAACTTGTCCAAGACGCTCCTGAAGATACACCCATCAAAAAAAACCATGGTTGTATTATTGTGAGTTTGCATGCATGAACTGCTACAGTGTGCATACCAGTCCAGCTCCGCCGATATTTTGTCCAGTTTTTTCCCCAACACTTCAACCCAGTTCGGCAGCACCGACATGGGAGAAGAGTTCGCCGTAACGGTTGGAAAAGACATCCTTAGCAAATCAAACCCCATCAAGACGCAACAATATAAATCAATTTCAATGCACCATTATAATGTGATTGAGCATTTGATAAAACAACTTGAGAACCCTGCTTGAAGGACATAATCCCACTTGCATTTGGTGCAGAAGGGGTAGAACTGCTCTCCCTTCCCGCCGTGGCCTTTGGAGGCAAAAGGAAATCTGCATTGGCATCGTTGATGTCAGGCAAGGCAGAGTCCATCATGCTACCAGACTCGTCCTGGCGGGAGATGTAGGGAGGAAATAGTTTTCGGATGTTTCTGGCATATATTACCCATGGCATATTTATAAAATAGATAAGATAACATATGGGTTCATATGGTATAGCGGGGTAACACTTCAAAAGGATTCTAAGGGATGCAAACCTGTCCTGAACAACCATGCCCCCTTCCCTGTTCGTCTCTTCTTGGTGGAGTTCTTTGTGGCAGAAAGTCTCACTCAAGATCATGCGAATCTCTTCTTCGCCATGGATGGGATTTACCCGAAGGTTATTCGTCTTGCGACCCCAATCAAGGGCCTTCTGAATCATGGACCTCAATGGGATGAGTACGGGAAATAATTGGATAATTGGTAATTTTAAAAACACATAGGATGGTAACCTGGCATGCATGCATGAAGAACATAAACAGAACTGGGGACCTTGCTTCGACCAGCCCTCTTTGAACTCAAGGGCATGTTTGGTGTACCAACCTCCTGTCTTCGCATCTTCCCTAGATTTCATGTGGTGCTTCTTCACCTGAATCTCTAACTCCTCGAAGGAACCATGCTGATGGAACATGGCCTTGAGCTTCTCACCTGAGATGTGCAAGGGATCTATATCATATCTTAGAAGTATTGGAATTATGGATTTATGGGGCAATCTATTTTGACGAACTCACATGAATTCACCATCGTGTGTTGTAAGTTGTGAGCCATGACACGTCCATCTTTTGTCTCCCACATCTTCAGAGCTTCAGGGCTACACTTCACCTTTCCACCTTTTGGACGGAAGTACCGATAGAGCCTGGGGACAGAAACAAAAATCCCATGTGATGCATGTGCATGGATTCAATGTTATATTTAAGTGTCAGCTAAAAGGGAAACATATCAATCGTTCATACATTCACCCAATCATTTATGCATGCACAAAAAATTATTGGGGCCTCCAGCAACCATCTCTCGAAGGAGGGCCCGCATGCGACACAGAATCTCCTGGCTCAGACTCCTCAGCAATCGTCGGCGTCAGGCCACGATCTTCAGCTTCAGCAGACGGCCCCGAGGCAAGGACAGGAGAGGGCGCTGGCGGGGCGGTTGGTTCAGGTGATGGGTGCATAGTGTTCACCACTGCTTCAGAAGGTGTATGAAACGTATCTGGCTTTCCGGGAATAGTTGGGGCAAGGGATGCTTCAGACACTGGAACTTGGGAATCACATGGGGGCCGAACCACAGAAGCCATCTCCTGGGTTTGGGTATCAGGCTGGCGCTGTCGGTCTGGCAGCTCTGGAACTGTGTCTGGCAACTGTTCAACTGTTCCTGACCTTGTTGGGTTTCCTGCGCAAAACTTGCCCCCAGATTGACCACAGTGAGGTGCTCCTTAGATTGGCATTGTGCAGTAGTTAAAACTAATTCTTGAGGATCCATGGTCCAGTTGAAAAATTCTATCGTAAGTCGTTTTTGTATGTCTTTGTCCCAAGATATTATGGCCATCATAAATACCCTAGCAAGTGTCCGCTTGGTGGCTCTTCTGGAGAGAGGGTGGAAGCCTGGTTGCTCTTCTTGCGTCGTAAGGCATCCACTCGTGCACGACTCGCCTCAGGAAGGGGGCAAAAAAGTGATTAACCATGCATATGAATCATATGCCCATTATATATAGATTTCGATCTAAAGGCCATAGGCTGGGAAATATAAGGGCATGCAATCAAGTAACTGCTATTTGTTCCTCAAGCGCCCGCTTTCGATCTGCAACAGACCCATGGCCAACTTTGTTCATTCCCTCAACCAAAGTATTGGCGCTATGAAGCCGGCTTGTCATACCCAAGCGCCACTCAAAGCAGTGATTTGATCCCAAATGTTCTACAATGTATCATGTGTGGTAGTGGATGGCTGATTCATGCTGATTCCAACAAAAAAACACGAAATGGTTCATCTAAGGGCTGTAATGCACCATATGACAAAAACCCAAATGAGCACTTTTTGAGAGTGTGCCCGTTTGCACGTTTGTGCGCTCGTTTGCACGTTTGTGCGCTCGTTGTGCGCCACTTTTTGTGGAGACCAAAATCCACAAAAGCCCGCAAATTGTTACAAATTACATCCCAAGTCTTTAGGGACCACATGTTTGCAATCTTCAGTGCATGTGGGACTAATCCTCACATTTGACCTCACATTTTACCCGTTTGGGTTCACGGCCCTCGTTCTGCAACACCATGAGCTCATCGGTCAAGCTCTTGTCCCCAAGCACCTGCAGTGGAAGTGCATAGCTGGGCTTTGCCGGTGGATTCAAAGGTTTTAAGTTTAAAGGACAAACACAGCTATATAGGCTATATATCTTATATCGATCTGTCATACTGTTGTATACTATATAATAAAACTCCAGGTATAATCAAACCCCTCGTGAAATGGTTTTGGAGAATGTTTTGGGAACCCTTTGGAGCCTCTTCCTTATACTCTTGGTAGAATGAGTGCATCGTCTTCTCCCATTCGGTTGGGATCCTCCCAAGAACCAAATTGACAAACAAATTATTAAATGCATCAGTTGCACCAGTGCTTGATTGAAACCCCAGGGTCCTGCAGTGCTTACATTCCATCAAGTACGTGAGTACTGGTAATAAATCTGCATCTTCCCAGCAGTCTCCTAGAGGTAGAAGATCAAATTGGCTGATCTCATCCAATGTCCGGTTGAATTGTGGCTTGAACCGGAGATCCCTTCGACCAGGACCAATCGCCGCAATGTGGGCTTGAAAGGCCCGGAGGAGATTTCTCCCAAACTCTGCAGGGTATGCCCTTGGCTGGAAGGGGAAACATAATATCGGAACATGTTATGTGATTCGACATATTGAATGGCATTGGTTGAACATACAAGCAGCTGTTTTCAATATAAGTCCCAGGTTCTGAGATTGAGAAAGTGCAGGCGTGCCCACAAATCTGGATTGCCCACTTCCATTCACATATTTGCGAACTGTTTGTACTGATGTTCTTCGTTGTTTTTCTTCTTTTGTCAAAACCCCAAGATCCAAACCTAGCACCTTGGGCATGTTACTCCATATGCATGTCCTCTTCGGGCTAGGGCTTCCATGCAAGGCCATCCAAAACTCCACTCGGTACACCTGGGCGTGGTTATGCGTGGCTTTCGGAGGCCGAGCAGTGTTTCAGGATTGACGATTTCAAATGATTAGAGCCCCAAGAGTTTGTAGTAAAAAACATTATGCCCCGAAAAGGGTGGATTATGGTGGGTTGAATTTTCAAATTCCAAAATCATGCATGGTGTTTTCTTGGGTGGAAAGTACATTTGTATTTTTTCAGTGCGCCCCACAAGCTTAAAAGACACCTCATGCCCTCAGCGACCCCAGAGACATTGGCCGAAGTACATATGCAACATGGTTTATCATCCATTCGAAACGTCTCCATCGACCAGCCAAGCTCTGGTGTGGTTGTTCCAGAACCCATATGCAATTGTTGGCAAGTACCAACAAACATGCCAATGTGCACCTTAGTTGGGGGGTTGGAAAGACCGAGACATGTTGTTTTTTTACAGCACTTTTGCTAAGACTTGTAATCCCTTTATCTTGATGCGAGGTACCTTGACAGCATGATGTTTGAATTTCGAACCCACGTCAGGAACAGGTTGCCATTTACATTCATGAAATTCCGTAAGCTTGTCCCTCGAGCGGGAATGCCCCATGAAGAGCAATCTGGTGCCAGCATCACCAGACTATCTGGCGCCATCCCCAGGATCACACAGAGGCATAACCTGAAGCGATCGGCCGATGGGAGACCCAGTGGATTTGCTGGAGGGCATGGTATGGCTTGAATCTAACCATTCAATTTCCAGAAAACACTAGTTGGGTGACAAGGTGCAGAAAACCTGGAGCTGTCAAAAAATCCATGGTTGATTGGCAAAAGTCCCGGTCGAATGAAGCAGTTCGGTATCCAGCATCATACCTCTGATGGCTTCAAGTTGCAATTTTTTTTTGGTTGTACCCATCAAGAATTAATCTAATAGCCAGTACACAGGATTCGTGTTCAAATCAATCTGAGGTAGGTGCCAGGCAGTTGTAACTGATTGTCGCCCGGCAAAGATTTCAAGCATATCATAGCCAGGGTTTGGAGGCAATAGGCCATCCGTCCATCCCAATAACAACACCTGAGTTGCTAATGGTTCACCCCATACAAAATCATTTCAATTGATCTCACACAAGCTATATTCCCCCAAGATTCAGACCAGAGCAATCAGCACCTGACCAGTCAGAAGGGGATGGCTGGTACATGATACAAGTTGTTTTTGATATCAAATCTATGATATCATTTTTTGTAAACTAATAAATCATCTGAGTCCCAATCCTTAGGCGCTTGAACATGTTGAAGTCGGGCCACGGGATTGGACATCAGCGGCATGGGAACTGATCAGTAGGGGATGCGCTAAAGGGACACCAAAGCAGAACTGGAAAAGCTGCTGCTAGCACATGCATGGAAGTAAGGGAGAAGGAAACCATTGCATGCACATGGTATTCATCATTTTCCCAAAGATTGCACACTGAATTGGCAACCGCCCACCCAAACATGCCGTGGCTGACGACTCAAGAGTGAGGTTTGGACTGCCCATGTGCTTATTCTCTTCTGGTTTCGCGGCATCTCTGCCTGCAGGGGGGCAGTGGGAGAATCATAGGATCCATGGGCTGTAAAATAGTGGGAAGTTACCCCTCAGTGCTGTCCAATCAAAACGAACCAAGCTGGATATTTTCTTTGATTATATAATTTTCCTTTTGAATCCTGAGTTAATTCTAATGAATTCCCAAGAGCTAAAATCCCTGAGATCAGGCAGCTACCAAGTTGTAGAAACAAATCTGCATTGCTTGTTTTTTTTTGAGCCGCTAGCAACTTTGGTGCATGGAGCTGTCTCCACTACCATCACTTGATCACACATGGATTGAAGACCCAGTAAATGTCACATGGGTCTATAGGATATATCGGCTCTTGCATTGCAAGAACATGACCCCAGAAACTGCAACAGCTCGTTCTGCAAGCTGGTGCGCGCCCCACAACCGAAGCAAGCTGTGCTTCGAAAGAGATACCATCGCAGCTGCTTTCTCGATCACTCAGTGTTGGCATATGCCTTAGATCAAGACATGCTTTGCACCAAAAAAACATCCGAGATCATCCGAGGGTCAACAAGAATCCGTGGCATGAGAACCAATGGAAAAAAATAAGCCTATAGCATTAACATATGAAATACTACAAAAATCTACAAAAAGAATGCTGTTTCAACTGAACTGCTTCCTTTGCGAGCTTGTTGGCTTCCTCTGGGCTTTTACCTGCCTTTGTGGCTGCCAACTTTGCCTTGTGGTATGCGCTAGACTTTCGTGACTGCCGCTGCTTGGCTGCTTGTGGATCCGTGGCTTTGGAATCTCCCTTCGGAGATCTCTTGGGTGATCCCTTGGGTGCTTTGCCCTCAAGGTCCTTTGCCTTCCTCTTGGGAACTTTGGGGACATCTGTGCTTGAAGATGCTTTCTCCTCCTTCTCCTTCTTCTCCTTGGTTTTGCTTTTGCGTGTCTTTGTTGGCTCCTGGTTCTCGTCAGCCTTGTCAGCCTCCGGCATCTCATCTACAGCTACCTCATGTTTTTTGGCTTTCTTCTTTGGCACCTTGTCACCCGGGTCAACTGCCTTGGATTTGCTCTTGCGGCGATCATTTGCTGCCTTTGGTGCTGGCTCAGTCGTTTTTCCTTTTGCCTTACCCTTGGCGCTCTTGTCAGTCATCTTTGCTGCAGGTTTTGCTTTCCTAGTTGGCTTCTTGTTGCTTGCATCTGCCTTGTCAACCTTGTCAGCCTTAGATTTCTTGGGTGTTTTGCTTGCTCTCTTTGCTCTGCATGGTCCATGCTTTGCGGGTTCTTTGCATTCATTGTCATCCGATGCCTCCTTGGCACCTTCCTCGTTCTCCTCAGAATCCTTGCCGTCTTCCTCTTCGTTCTCCTCATCATCCTCAACCTTTCTACACCTACCCTTTCCTCGCCCCCGACCTCTTCCTCTGCCACGACCCTTCCCCCTCCCGCTCTTGCGCTGGCCCTGCTCACTGGGTTTGATAGGTTCCAAATCATCCACAACATCAGATGGACGAGGGTTGCTCACTGATGTCGGCAACGCAGTGTCCTAGAGGGGGTGCCAAAAAAACAGAATGTTGAGACTTGTGATTCCCACCTGTTTGCTTAGCTACCATACTACATCATAATATAGCATTTGAATCCAAATATAATTTGCCTGATAGAATCTTACTTATTTTTTTTGGGTGTTTCCCAAAATATTGATCGAACAAATGTTTTGCCCAACCTTGTGATCTTCACAAGCATCATCATCACTAGGAACTTCCCCCAACTTCAGGGTTCTCTGGCGAGCAATGATTGATCCCGCATCCATGGTCCCAGACGTCTCGGGAGGCTCGGACTTGGAGCCAGCCGAGTCAACCACAGCAGGCACAAAGGGTTCCGGGAACTCCATGGGCAGGGTGTCCAGAAGGTCAGGACCTGGGAGAAGCAGGATTACCATTTGATTTTTCATGTGTGTGTTGGCTCGGTTGATTGTTAAAATAGGGAACCCTCAAATCCACAGGTATAATTTCCCTCATTGAAACCATTGACTTTGTGGCATATTTTCAATCACACTATAAGAACCTACTATAATACTATAATACCATTTCTACAGGAACTACAGGGCAGGGGGCATGCAACCAAATTGGAAAGACCAGGAATTCCCATAGGTGATGGTTCAAAGTATGATTAGTTGGAGTCTAGGTGCAAACAGCTGGAACCGGGGTAGATGATACCAATGGTCTGGCAGGTGGGCGAGCAACATCTTTCATTGACAAGTCCTTGGCATAATTCATTTGAATGGTTTCCTGTTCCTCGAGAGCTTGCATCTCCAACTTGTGGAGTTGCTCAGTCATCTCTAGGATTTTCAACTCCTCCTCCATCATTTGAAGGGCCAACTCCTCGTCTTCGATCTTGTCATGTTCATGTTGAATCTCTAGCAAAGTCATAATCTCCATGGCCTCCTCGGACTTCCCTGCTTGCAGGGCTTGATCAAGCTCTGCCGACAATGACTTAGTATGGTCAACAACGGTCTTATCAGGGTTGGCCTCAATCACTTCCATGGGTGAAGGGGTAGGCTGTTGCGATCTGCATTCCCGAGACTTGATTGAGTCCCAAGAGCCACGAAGTCCACATTTGTGACATTCACCTTGATGGGTTCGTGATTTGACTATGTTGTGCTTTCCGGGTCCCGGGAACTCCGCATCCTGTCGATCATCATGATCATCCACAGAACCTAGGCTATGCTAGGATACAAAAATGAATATGCATGAGTTCTGTTGTCCAGGGATTACCCAATGCTAAATCAATTGCAAATAATAGAAGTGATACTGGTCGAAGCTAAGATACACCGAGGTGTTTTCATCCAATCAGTAGATCCGTCATCCATGGCGACCGGGGGTGGAGAAGTAGTGTCACCTGCCAATCACTTGAAAAACAATAATCTATAGTACTTCTGAACTGTCTTAAACCCACTTGTTTAGAGTTTATGCATGCCCCACCTGACTCAACATTGGGGCCTGGCCCTGCTGATTGATGCACTTGTCCATCGGGAATTTCATCCTCGTAAGATGGAAATGGTTTGTTGAAAAAACATAAATGAACCCAATGTGTAAACCAGGTTCAATCCCATAATTATTTTAAATGTTTATGTTACTAAGGATATGACCCTCTTTTCAAACAAAAAACAAATGTACATTTGAGCGGGTATCCTTTGGGTTCACCTCCACCACAGGGTCGGATTCCTCGGGCTCACTCTCTGGACATTCCTCGTCGTAGGCGCCTTCTGCTTCTTCATCATCAGCATCTTCAAGTGGAGCAGGCTCAGAACCTGGGATGGCGATGGGTTGGCTGACCAGGCATTGGATCTAGAAGTGCGGCATATATAATGGATGATTCCCTAAGGTATCGGATGGTATAGGGAATTATAATTCATGTTTTTTTACTTCCAAATAAAAATGTAACTATATGTATAGCTAGAAACTTTGGGGTGAACTCCTATTTGCTGGAGACGTGTCAGGGATCGGAATCTCTGCTACTTCCATCAACTTTCTCAAAGCTGATTCCCGTGGACGGTGTCCACGACGCACCGTTCTGGAAAAACAGTAGATGAGCTTCCGAATAATCCATGATTCCGCTTTGATCACACGTCCTTAGGACAGATCAGGGGTTTAGATTGGTTGATGTTTAAAGTTCAAAATCGGACCAACAAGTCATCATATTCCCCTATCATGCCTAGAATCCAGTAGGCAAACTTTTGCCCCTTGGCCTGGAGTGGTAGAGGAAACATTCCACTGCTTCCGCAATGTCCTCCAAAGAAGGCCGCAAACCTGAGATGACATGGGCTAACAATTTTAAATGTCGACATATATAAAAAATGTAAGTTTTTTTTGGGGGGGGTCAGTAGTAACATATAGGAACCCAGCATAACCCAATAGAATCTGAGAGAAAACATGAAACATAAAATTGGTTCCATTTAGATGTACTAAATCATGGCTAAAACACCGAGATGTTGGATTACCGGTTCAAGAATTGCCGCATTTTGGCAAACCTCACGGCGGTTCAAATCCTGCCAATCTTGCACATAATGCCCCCAGCTGCATGCTCCACGAGCGTAGGGAGACTCTTCCATTGCGCAATCACCAATCCAACAGGGGTTTTCTCGGGTGTGGCCCTTTCCGTCATCCCACCAAGAAAAAGTGGGTTCTTTGATCCACGCAGCTGATGGGATATCAAATGGCAATCATGCTTTTTGTGGGGAAGATAACATCGAATTTGAACCGCATCAACCAAATACAGTTCTGAAGAAAGATGATCCCCGTTCCCTCAACTCCAAATAGGCCTCATGATTCTAGAAGCCCTCGATCCAGTGACCATCGCTGTACCTGCAAGGTGGCAAGATCGACTCCTGCGGTGGTGCGTGCACTTATGCACACAACTGGTGGGGGCGCACTCCATCAACTGGAACTTGGAGCTGTTTAGGCTGTGTTCGAGCCAAGTGGCAACCCACTAAAGAACCCCCATCAATCTGGATTTGAATCTATTACGTTATTGCATGTATATTCTGGTAAAGATTTCAGTAATCACAATTTTCTGCTCGATTCTTAAAAAAGTGCTCGACCATCAGAAGAAAGCTCGGAAGCCCAGAAACATATACAAAGAAGGCATTGAGCAGAAAAGTTTGCTCGATGGAATCCCTAGGTACGTATGTACGTATGTACGTATGTACGTATGTACGTATGTACGTATGTACGTATGTACGTATGTACGTATGTACGTATGTACGTATGTACGTATGTAAGTATGTACGTATGTACGTATGTACGTATGTACGTATGTACGTATGTACGTATGTACGTATGTACGTATGTACGTATGTACGTATGTACGTATGTACGTATGTACGTATGTACGTATGTACGTATGTACGTATGTAGGTATGTACGTATGTACGTACGTACTTATGTACGTATGTACGTATGTACGTATGTACGTATGTACGTATGTACGTATGTACGTACGTACGTACGTACGTATGTATGTATGTATGTATGTGTGTCTGTATGTATGTACGTACGTACGTACGTACGTACGTACGTAGGTAGGTAGGTAGGTATGTATGTAAGTAAAGTAATGTAATGTAATGTAATGTAAATGTAATGTAATGTAATGTAATGTATGTATGTATGTACATATGTACATATGTAAATATGTACATATGTACATATACATATACATATTATATATATATATTATACATATATAAGGAGAGCTGGTAGAAAGTTGACTCCCCAACAGCTTTCGGTTGCGCTCACCTCCGACTCTGACGCTAAGGCATCGAGTTCGTAGGCAGTGGCAAGCTGCCCTAGGGCCTGACACGGACTCCACTGGAGGAATGGCTGCTATTTTCAACCGGAAACCATCGGAAACAAGCTTGGGAGAAATGATTGCAATACTTTCAAAACGCTAAAAACTCTAGTAAGTTCATAAATGAAACCAATCGTTTTGATTCCTCTAAGTATTTAAAATTCGATGATTGAAATACTTCGAAATCACACTGGAAGATTCCGCCAGCGCTCTGCATGCGCAAGTTTCACCTGGGTGATCCCATCAACCGCACCTGCTGATGGTTCACAGATCTGGTGTTCACCAATTGGGGTGTCGTCCTTCAAGACTTTGGGCGCACTAAGTCTGTGTGGGGCTTCCACAGATCATTTCCACACTTCCCAGCCCCCAGTCTGCCTTGTCATCAGGCGCAGTCGTGAACAACCGCACACGATCGATGGTTTTGTGGCAAACGCCCTCTGCTCTTGGATTTGCTTGAAGAAGTAAGCTGCCCTCCACCGAAACCATGCCTAAGTCACTGAAGTCTCTAGGCTTTGTAAAACCAAACAGTATCCTTCGGTATGATTCTTCCAGGGAAAAACCCCCAACATGCGAGGCATCTTAGGGATCCAAGCAGCCTTGGCATTCAGCAACTGGCTATAGGCTATGGCTCAAAAGTGAAGTAGCCATGAACCCGCAAAAATCGGTTGTTTTTTCCATTTACCCATCCACTTTTGGGTGGCTTTCGAATGTTACTGCCATATCAATTCTACATTGACTATGTACCCAGTACTATATCCATTTGTATCCACAATTCTTGTTGGTTAACAGTTAACAGGGGTTGGTAAATGGCCTAATTTTTCATATCACCCAACTATTGTCTCCAGCAAATACTGTTTCAGGTGACGTGAAACAAATCCCCAAAATGCAAGATTTACCCTCCGGCACTCAAACATAGCACTTGAAAATCTACCATTCATAGATGATGTTCGCATCTATATAAAATATATAAATCTCTATTGAGTTCGGGGATTTTTCCAGCAAGCCATGTTGGATTAACGGTGACCTGGTGAATTCCCCATCCAAGGTACCCCATGGGTACAGGGCCCACTCGCCCGCTCCAGGAGCCACCCGCAACTGCGCGGCATCACGGCCGGCGGCGCGCGGCAAGGCCAACCAGATGTCCTTCTCGTTGACCCCAGCATCTTTGGCCTTGGTCACCACTAGTCACCACCAAAAAAAATGAGAAAAGTTATAGAAAACCAGCACTATGAAGAATGGTAGGATATAGGTGTTTTCTATCTTTGAAGAAGGTTGCTACACTTTGAGCAACCACATGATTTTGGTTCTTTAAACTAAAAACCTATTTGGGTGTGCTGCTGAAAGTCCCAAGTTTTGTTGCTAATTAGTCTCTGGACAAAGCTATTAGATTCTCATCCCCATTTCTCATCAAGACATCCCCACTATTGGATGTTTAAGCGTAAATCCGTAAATCTCTATTTGATCCCGCGCGTTGCTATATAGGGATTTGGAGATGAGGATCATCCCGTAATCCCCAATATCTTGGGTAGATTTGGGGGGTTCCAAGAATCTGGGATCTCCAAAATGGATGATTTATAATGGAAATTCCTATTAAAATACTGTGATTTAGGGGTACCCCCATTTTAGGAAACCTTCATTGGGCAGGAGTGGTCCCCCCTGAGTTTCCCCGCAATCCGCCGCAGTGCCTCTGCAGCCGTGATGGAGGGTCGCCTGTCGCCAGGCTCCACCGCGCTGCTTCCGAGATCTTGGACGCGGCGGAGGACGCCGGCGCGGAGATCAGCATCAAATCTCGGGTCTCAGGTACTTCAGGAGCAATGAAAATGAAGCTGTCATGAAAATTGACCCTTAAAAAATGGACTTAGTCATGATTCAAAAACATTGTGAAATTTGAACTTGGGCGTGATTTTATCTACTCCAGGATGATTTATACTGGGACACCTTGCAACCACTGGGACCATTACATCAAAGAAATCGGGGTTGCCAGAAATTCCCCTCTGACAACTTAACATGGCTGGCTGGAACAGCAGCATTTTCAAACATGTTTGATCTATCACAGAATGATGGTTTTCTCATTGCTGTGTCAGGTTGTATTCTTGGATTGACCTTCTGGTAATCTCAGGATTTCACTATTTGGGTGTGTTGTTTTTAGCCTTTCACCATTTGAGTGTGCTGGTCAACCGCTGCAAAAAGCCGCCAAAACTGTTGCAAAAAACACCGGGGACCGTTGCAAGCTGGGAAAACACCACTATCTGAAAATACACTGGTTACCGTTGCAAAAAACACCAGTCCCATTTTTTTTGGGTTTTTCCATACCCAATGCGGGGATGAATGGGATTGATTCTGGGGTGTACCGCATGGTGTCTCATGATTGGCCCAATTAAAACTAGGAATCTTCTAACTGGGCTGACTTCCAACTTTCTTGGTGGGAAAGTACCCCAATCAGTGCTAGCAAATCATTGCTGTTGGTCATGAAATCAAAAGCGTGGGGATGGTCTGGATTCATTCGCTGGCCTTACACCAGCTATGCAACTGCCGTGTATGTTTTTTGTCACCCAAAATTTGTCTGAGGAAACTGAAGAGGAAGTCCCTGTCTGTCGAAGGCGTGTGGGCAGCTCATGATGACCTTGCGATTTCTGCCAGCTTCTAAGAGTCTTTGAGAGGGCTGGATTTCCCTGCATCTTCAAAAAAGTGAAGCCATGGGCCATGGTTAAACTTTTCCCCAACATTTCCACGCCAAGAAGCACTTGCAGCTCAGGGCCAACTGGCCGAACACCACAGAAGTTCACTGCAGTGCCCAAAGCCCCTGGGAGCAGCAGCACCACACATCCGCTTTTTGGATCGCTACCTCCACGGGATGGGCTGTGATGGTGGATACGGCCCAGGAATGGCAAGAACGCTCCCATGAAGTCAATCAGTTCACATGAAAATGTAGATTTGGGGCTCACTGTCCATGCCCAAGACTCCCAAGGCCGGGCCTTCTAAGCCTACTTGTTCACCTACCAACAGCCCAGCTTTGTGCGCGAAGGGGTAGCACGCATCCAAAATGCCCATCACACGTCGTGTGACGCCCACGCTATCCCCAAACACCAGAGCCGAGCCCACGTCCCCCGATTCCCGGCCCAAAAAGTTGCGACCCGCCAAAATGGAGCCATTCACCTTGCCGCCATACACCTGGTCGATGGGGGCGATGAGATGGAGTGAGAACATTCCAAGCATTGGGAGAGTGGGATTTATGCCACCCTTTCAAAACGGGTGTCCGACTTCAGCTTCTGTTTTCATGTCTGTTTGCTTGGTGGTTCTTCCAGCTCCATCCAGGCGGTTCCACAAAAACCCATAGTTTTGTTTGTGTTTAACGGCCAGCCGGTGGATCAAACAGCGAGAAGATCACACTTGTTGGGAATGAAATGAGGCCACCTCCCACACAATGGGAATAAAATGGAATGAGTCTCCGCCACCAAGCCTGAATACTCCAAAGGGGATTCACATCAATGGTGTCTTGGATGCGAATGCTCTCCCGGCTGATGGTCTGCAAGGAATCTTCGTCCAGCATTGCAGCCTGCGGAGCCGGCAGTTCTGGGTCTTGTTCCGCCGATCCAAAGGACACCACGTCTCCCTGTGTTGGAACACCCAGTAGTGGCATTTCTGGAGGAAATTTGCATCGAATCTGCGTCAAAATGTCCTTCATCTTGGCTGCCCACTTCGAAGGCAAAAACAAGATTGCAAATGCCACATTGAAGCCCTGCGTGCCCTGTGTGCCCTGCGTCACCTGATCGGTTCCTCCGTTTCGACTTGAGCGTTCACTTGGCATTGGAGCTTTTGGAAGTTTTGACACATGGATCATCTCTTCACTTTGGTGCCCCGAAGCATAGCTTTCTTGCCATCTGCTCAGTGCTTCCTGCACCGCAGCCTCCAGAGTTTCGAGACTTGAGCAGCCAACGTGCCACTCTGCAGCCGCGCTGCCCACCGCGGATCTGTACCGCCTTCGCCTTGGCCTCAGTGCTACCCCAGCTGCGAATCCAACAAATCCCCATCTGAGGTGCCGAATGTGACAGCTGTGATGAGGAAGCGATGGAACTAGTGCGATTTCAGGCGGACGGCCTAAAGGCAGCTTCCCATGGCACAAAGAGGCCGCCCCAGTTGGCAGGACCATCAGAGTTTTTCAATGACAAGGGCACCGGGACTGCAAGAACTGCATGTCTTAGGCTGTCTGTCAGCTTCAAACGTTTGACAGATTGCATTTAAATGACAAGTACTTACAACACAGCTGCGTCGCCTATTTCAACATTGAGGCCTTTTCCGGGCGCTCATCCTTGAAGCATTTGGAAATCAACTTGGAGGTGTGTAAAATCTGATGCGCGAGCAGAAAGAGCTGTCTTTGATGTGTTTGAGTCAGCTGCCTCCTGGCGGCCTGTGATTCAGTGATCAAATGATACCAAATGAATATCCGTTGAGCGATTCGACCGAATATTACAACGCTCTGGAGTCATGATACCTTGATACCGAAAATTTCCGCAGGTCCATGATTTCCCCCTTTGCCCTTTGAAATCCGGCATTTCAAAGCCCTGGCCTCCTCGCTCCGACGAATGTCCAAGAATTCCCAACCCGTTTTCAGCAGTTCCATGGCCTGCATGATTTGGCCAGTATCTTGTGATGACTTAGAGTCATTGAAAATTGAAAAAATGTCGGAAAATGTGGGGAAAGTGGGGAAAATGATGATATACCATGGAAATGTTGAAGATTTAGACGAGAAATTACGCACCGCCCCTTGACTCACATGCTGATCTTATGAAGTTCTCACGTTACGTTTGCTGGTACCCAGCATGCCAAGTGCCAATGTTTCACCTCAGCACATTTTAGGATGATGAAATCCCAAAGCAGCCTAGTCATATTCAGCCCAAGAATAGTACTGCAATTAAATGCCTGGAATCCAAAGCTGCAACTGTGCCGGATATTCTGGACGCGCCACCCACGAGGCCCCGCACGTTTTGGTTCCCAAAATGTTGCCCAGCTGGGTTTGTCTTAATGTCGGATGTCAGCGGCAAGTTGAATGGTAAAATCGTGATCAACCATAGAATTAGCCTATTTCTGGACAAAGCCAGATTGGATCCAAATAGAAAGACAGTCAAATAGAGGTTTCCTAAAATGGAGGTACCCCCAAAATCATCCAGGCCATGGATGACCATGACTTAGTATTGAAACCCATGGTGACGACTGAGGATCCAAACCATTTCGAGAACCACCAATGAAGTGATCCGTCTTTACCGACCACGCCTCCGCACTTGCGATACTTTTAAACTGCCGCCTTGGTGATTGGAGTTATGTCGCCCACATTGATTTGGGGTGTAGTTCCAAACTTATGACCCACTGATTAGATCAAGTAATGTACCTAAGCTACTGAAGATGAAAATCATGGTGCTTTGAGTACTCGAAATACTTGCAGCGCCAGTGGATTTCCAGGTCGCAACTTTCAAATTCTGGACCCCTTTTCGTTCGGCGACTCGACCAACAAATGCAGCGCGTGCCAAGCGCCCAACAGAACAAGAGGTCGAGCAGGGGAATGAATCTCAGTTTGAGGAGTTGGCAACAGAAAAAAAACAAGTTTAATCGATAAATTGAGGTGTCCAAACAAAACAACAGGAACCTCATGCGCAGGTTGCAATGCACTTGAGGGCCGCAAAGCCGCAAACATCTGCAGACAGTTAGTGTGTCCACGTAGTTTTTTGGGATTTTTGGGGAGTTCCCCTCTTTCACTTCGAATTCACAATTCATGAAGTCATGCTTTATTTTTCTTGAACAAGGTGTCGGGTTCAAACACTATCCATTTCAATCCATTTCATCACATGTCTAAGTTCACATTCATGCAAAGGGATGAATCTGTCATTCAAACATGATGCATCCCATTACATCCAATCGACAAATCCATTTAGTGGAATTGTTTTGCCATTTGAGAATGTGATGGGTGAAGAATTAACACATAAAAGTACATATGTCCCAGCTGCAGACTTTATAATCCTCCGGCTGGGCGTGTCTGAAAATGGGGCATACCCCTTGAAAATGGGTCAATGTGTCGTAGGAAAAATGACGATAATCCGCTGGAATTTCGGAGGTTTTCCCCTAAATTGTCAGAGAAACCCGGACATCATATAATGGTATCAATGATTAATGATAATCAACTAAGTGATGATAATCGTGATGATATAGTGAGGACTACTGATACTTATCCCAATATATCATCACTAAGTATCATTCATCACACTTGCCCCATTGATCTCCCATGTTTTAGCTGAGGACCTTGCCCATGGTGATAGCCGCGGCCGCGTGAAGGTGCCACCGCCACACGTGCCACCTGACGCATAAATCTATCTATCTATCTATCTACCTACCTACCTACCTACCTATCTATCTATCCATCCATCCATCTTGCTATCTATCTATCTATCAAATACACACATATGTATACGTATATACATTATTTTACATAAATACATACATGCATGCATGCATGCATGCGTGCGTGCGTGCGTGCGTGCATGCATACATACATACATTACATACATTACATACATTACATACATTACATGCATTACATACATTACATACATTGCATACATTAATTACATACATACTTTACATACATTAATTACATACATACATTACATACATACATTACATACATACATACATACATACATTACATACATTACATTACATTACATTACATTACATTACATTACATTACATTACATACATACAATTCATAATTACATACATACATACATTACATACATTACATGTATACATTACATACATTACATACATTACATACATTACATACATTACATACATTACATACATTACATACATTCATACATAACCTTACATAACCTTACATAACATTACATAACATTACATAACATTACATAACATTACATGACATTACATAACATTACATAACATTACATAACATTACATAAGATTACATAACATTACATAACATTACTTAACATTACATAACATTACATGACATTACATAGCATTGCATTACATTACATTATCTTACATTATATTAATTTACATTAACTTACATTACCTTACATTACCTTACATTACCTTACATTACCTGACATTACCTTACATTACCATACATTACCATACATTACCATACATTACCATATATAACCATACATAACCAAACAAAACCATACAAAACCATACATAACCATACATAACCATACATTACCATACATACATACATGCATACATGCATACATACATACAAACATTACATACATTACATACATTACATACATTACATACATTACATACATTACATACATTACATACATTACATACATTACATACATTACATACATTACATACATTACATACATTACATACATACATACATACATACATGCGTTGCATTACATTACATTACATTACATTACCTTACATTACCATACATTACCATACATTACCATACATAACCATACATAACCATACAAAACCATACAAAATCATACAAAACCATACAAAACCATACATAACCATACATAACCATACATAACCATACATACATACATGCATACATGCATACATGCATACATACATTACATACTTTACATACATTACATACATTACATTCATTACATACACTACATACATTACATACATTACATACATTACATACATTACATACATTACATACATCCCATACATACATGCATACGTGCATACATGCATACATGCATACATGCATACATGATATACATGCATGCATACATGCATACATGCATACATGCATGCATGCATACATGCATACATGCATACAATGCATACATTGCATACATTACATACATTACATACATACATACATTACATGCATTACATTCATTACATTCATTACATACATTACATACATAACATACATTACATACATACATACA